ATCAAAAGTAGAACTGTGATATTTTACAAAGTTTCAATAATGTTTTCTCTTGTGCTTAAATGTGTTTCAAATGTATTTAAAACTGAAAATGTACTTTTCGGAACTGAAAATATAGCACAAGCTGTGCTCAAAAATTAAGGACATATTATTATTCGATACTTAAAAGTAGTTTTAAAAATATATTTTAGTAAGATATTCTTCTACTAGAAAACTTCTGCTGTATATTTGAATAGACCAAAACTTAGACCAAATGAATATACATCAAATTGTCAATTTTAGTTTTGTTTTTTTTTTTGAGAAACTAAAATTTAGCCCACGCTTTCTAACCGTGTAGTTATCTTTACGATTCTTGAGATTGCCCTTATATTATTTGCCTTCCGAACTGGCAATTCATTGGATGACTTGTGCAATTTGTTATCGCTTTGGTTTTCGCATGCATTTTGTTAGTCTTTGCGCGTTGGCTGCGTAGTGCGTATCGTTATTTTGTTATATTTCTTAAATAAGCTATGGATAATGCCGGCATTTATTGGATATTGTTTTTTACTTTATCCATCTTCTTTTTGACTTCGTGCGCGGTTTTCCTGACACGCGGACGCAACCGTCGAGCGGAGCTCATGAAGGGCGCAGGTCTGTCAAAGTGATCAACTTTCTTTTCCTTCTTATATATATTTATTTATACTATATGTGCATGTAGGCATGTGTGTGTGTGTGTGTAATTGATAACAGTAGATAAGGGGATGATATGTGCAAATATGAAAGATAATATTGTTTCCGCACTTAATAATTGCAGCTTGTGTAATTCTCTTCTATTTATAGACGCTCATGTAATTGTTTATCAGAGTAAATGATAGCTACGTGCATTTAGAACTGTCCAACACTTTGTACTAGTATTTAAAACAGTTGATTTGTGCGCTTTTCAACACTGTTTGCATAAGCCATGGAGCTTTATTGATAACAACACTAATTGCTTTTCATATTTTTGCCTTTTCTCTCACTTTCTAATGGCGCTTGCATCAGATCTGCGTATAAACATAATTATAGAAAGGGTTTGGTAAATACCCGCCGTAATTTATATTGCATATCTCTAATTACTTATCAGTAAATTCACTTGAATATTGTCACTGTAGCCAAATCCAACTATTCGATAGGCAGTTAGTTCATATTTTGATTTTAAGGACTAAGTTTTAGTGTTTTCTTTTAGCTGTAATGGAGGGCTATGTTATTGGCATTATATTATTTGTCATTGCTGTCATATTCCAAATAGCTTGTTTTACAACTGTGTATGTGAAAAACCGAAAAAGGCTCGTACGAATGGGTAAACTATGCTTAAATTCTCCTGTGTTGTACTTAAAACTATATTCATTTTATTTGGCAATTTTGTAGCATAAAGTAAATACTTGAAATATCCAGTATAAACAATTTTAATATAATTTATTTTCTTTGCTGAACTGTATCTTAATTTCGTGCAAAAACGAAATTATTGCAATAATAGAAAATTTTCGAAAATGTGGTAAACCCCCCATTAAAATGCTATCTTCAAATTTGCTTATCTCTAATTGCTTATCAGTGATATCAGCCAAATATTCTGACCCAATCCGCGAGCTGAATACAATTCGCTAGACAGTTAGTTGAATTTCGGTTTTTATTGACTGTGCTTCCGCGTTGCCTGCTTCAATGAAGGGTTTTGTAATTGGCATTATTGTTTTTTGTGTGTTTCTGGCAATGCAAATTGTTTGCTTTGTGGCCGCGTTTATACACAATAAAAACAAAAAGAAGCGACTCGCCTGCAATGGTAAAATCTAGTAATAAATTTGACTTTTTTCACACCTGTCTTGTACAAAGCAAATTCTTAAGTAGTTGGTTAGCTCCGCGTCATGTTTTGCTGCCTAGTGACAGCTGGTGTAAATGCAACTTAATTTTGAGTATATACTAAAAACAAATGACAACAAGTTTATATTAAGTGTTTCACTTATTTACAAGTGCTTGTCGGATGACTTTCTATTCTGTTAGCCACTTTGCGATTGGCTTAAACAATTGAATAGCCCGAGATAGCAAGAGGGAAAGAAATGCTCGACTAGTAGATACGCATTAGCTAGTTCAAAAGTAACCAAATTATATTTTTTATACAACTACAAGAAAGGCGCCCGCCTTTGTAATTAGCGTGCATTAATTATATTTAATAAACAAATTTCTAGAAATCATAATTTTCTATATTAAATAATACTGTAAAACAAGTAAAAGATGATATAATCAGGAGATTTGAATAGATTTTTCACAGCTAGATCGACTCAACCACAAACCACATATAAACATATTACTAATAGAAACAATTTAAAATTATTTTTCAAGGCAATAAATGTGTTTATTCTATAGGTCATTGATCAATTATTTAAATAATTGTTCTGCCTTTTGTGATTTGTACTGGGCGCAGGGTATCGATATTTATATGGTACTTGCTGGCTTATCAATTTATAAATATGACTGTTCGACTATTTTGATCCCGCTGATTGCGGCCAACAGCTTGTTTCACACAGTTTTCATTCTTAACGCAAAGTCGACGCTTGTCTATAGTGAGAATTCGATTTATGAAATGGTGTCTTGGGCTATAATTTTTTTAAGTGTAGTATTTACTGTAACATTCATTATACCGTGTATTTGGCATATGATACGCCGTAAAGAAACGTCCGCCAATCGGGGCAAGTATTAAGCGAAGGCGTTGGTAGATATTAGAAAAAAATATCAACACTTAAAACCCAATCACTTATCAGCGTATTAAATTAGTGTTTCGTTGAATTGATTTGCATTTTGATTCTAATTTCGAATACGAATTCTTTTCACTTGCAGCGCCCGTTGTGGTCACATCGGCCACGCACACAGCGCCTGGCGGCTATCCTGTAACACAGATTCCAGCCACAACCTATCAGCCTCATGCCTATGGAACAGCGTATCCCGCCCACACCACGGGGTAAGTAGTGCGCAAGTAGCACACGAAATTTAATGCCAGCTTATGCTATATGTACGCTTTCCCTCCTCTCCCTCCTCGTAGCAATGTGAGCGTACAGATGCCGATGCCCATACACATGCCTGGAGCACAGCAACCGATGGCTGGGTAAGTTGGCACATATTCCAGGCCCACAACTCACTAACTATTTATGTTTAATTGCAGTATGCCACCGCATGTTGCTGCATATCCGCCCATGCCACAGCCGGGCGTTGGAGCGGCAAACATGAATCCACCATCATACGACATGGCCATGGCCAATCCCGGGCCGAGTGTTATGTCCGGCGGCTATGAGAAGCAAATGCCCTACAATCCCAACTATGCACAATAAGCAGAGTCTGGACAGTTGTTATTTGTTTATGTTTTATTGTCGCGCGCATTTCCGAGCTGTTTACAGCTCACACATAAAATACACAGTTCGATATATATGTACGCTTTAGAATTGCTTTAAAATGTTAGCTATATTGTATTAGATCATTATACACCATTTGCCTTTGGGGCATTGTTGGGGTGTCCAAAGGTACCAAAGTGAAGAGCCATCTATTTGTATTCATTGTATTCAAAACACAACAACAACAATTTCTTAAGTCATTCACAACTGAATGTGATGTACGTGCAATAAGTGCAACTTAATTTTAATTTATATAACTTTATTAAACTACCATAAGAGAGAAAAAACTTACGATACCGTAAAAGACAAAGAAAAAAATATTTATAATAAAAAAGTGAAATGCACATATTTATGTAATTTTATGCATATTTCTGTGTAATTCCATTCAACTAGAAATTATGCTCGATGTGATTATTTTGTAGTTATTAATTAATATGGATATATATGTTACAATTGTTGTCAGTTCGTTTAGAGCTCTATGCTCAGGTTTTTCAAATTAAATATATGTATATATATGTATATGCTGATGATAGTTATATATAAAGAAAATATGTTTTATCGTTCAGAGTGTTGTGTAAAGCCAAGTTTAAAGTGGAATTTTGTGTTTCAATGTCCATCGAATTGATAGATCAAAGAGCTATTTAAAACCTGAAGAAGCCAAAGAAATTTTCAGTATACCCTAAATAGGAAAATAACTTTTTTCTGGAATATGAAAATAAAAAATCGTAAAATGTCAAAATAACGAAAATCGACCATGATGAAATGTTATAGATACAGATAAGTTTTATCTACAAACTGTATAATATGTAATGATTTTTAAACAATTATTTAATGAAAATGCTACTAAAAACGTAAGGTATATGTATGCCATATGTAACATACAGATCAGAATAAATATCCGTTTATGTAGCCAAATCTTCTTAATATCGCACTATTACATTATATAGCTTGATAGGAAGAATCGGTCAGCGAAATGACTTCTTGTAAGGCAAAATATTCTGTTTTCTCAGCATTGCAGAGCTGTAAGGCTGTAAGTCTTCCCAATCAATGCACAGAAAAAGGCTGGTGAAACACCTCTTTTCTGTTTTTTAGTTTATTCGTAAGATAAGAAGATTAACATAAAGCTTCTGTTATTAGCAGATATCGATTCATCGATAGGTATTATAACATGCTTGGACCGATTTAGACAATTTTTCAAGGATCTTAAAACTTCGGCATGCTGAAGATAACCTAACTTTCTCGTGCAAGATATAATATTCTTTTAAAATAATAGCAAATCGGACTTATATAATATATAGCTTCTACAGGAACAATTGTTCCGAAATAAGGTTTTCTCATAATGTTATTTCCATGCTTAAATTGAAGATACCTAAAAAAAAGAAGAGTTGAAGATTAGCTTCCAGAACTGAATAGGTACAAATTGAGTGCCATGCTAGACACTGTACACAGTAAAGTTTATGGTAGATCTTGGACATGCCATGGATCATCAGATAAATGCGCTGCAGCTAAGTGTAACCAATTGATGTTAAATCCCTTGGACACGCCCCTGTCAAGCCAATATAAATTTAAACAGCTCACAAGATTTTAGTTTTAATATTTCTTGCCACGTCGTCGCAAGAAGCTGTTTAATAAGATGAAATACAATTTGCTGCTGCAAGCGATGCTGCTGCTGATGCAGCTGATGCTCAATCTGGCTGTCGAGGATAAATGTGCCATTCAGGAACATTGCCCGGCAGGCACCACGCATGTGGCCTGCCTAAACAAAAAGGTAAATGCTGGCCGGGGCTGTTCGTTAGCGAGCATTACTTCCAAACGAAATTTCAGACCTTTGGCAAAGAATGCGGAGCTAAGACACATGAACTCATACCCGTGAACGGTGCTCTGAGGCAGAACCTGCTCCAGCATGTGAATATGATGCGCAATATGGTGGCCAGCGGGCTGTTTAACCTGAAGGCGGCAGCCCGTATGCCGGTCCTGTCCTGGGATAGTTATCTGGAAAATACAACGCGTTTGTTGACGTATCACTGCAGCCATTCCAAGTTATGTTCGAATTCGGAAACGTATAACTATGTCCCAACGGTCCTCTTTTCGGGCACTATAAAACAGTCAGCTACGTTATCCCAAGAAATGACTCGCGTTTTTCTGCCCTTATGGTTTAATGACGTGCTGGGCTGTACTATGAATGCCAATCACGTTATTGTACCAAAGCTCGAGGGGTAAGTACAAATTTATAAAGCTCAATATAACTTAATATTAGTTCAAAAAGTCCATTGTGAATAGTCACACTAGATACTTACGATAGTTGATAGTCGTAAATATCGATTCTATCGGAAAGCATCGGAAAACGTCCAATTTAAATTGTTAGAAAAGCTTTAATAAGAGATCGTTCTTAATTTGACACATTTTTATGAATATTTTAATCAAGAGCATTTATTTGGTTTTACAAGGATATTGATAAGTGCAATCAGTAAAAAAGAATCGATAGGCACAATCGATCGTAGAATGCGTACAATCGATATTTACAATAGACAAATTTAAATTGCTTGAGTTTTTTATTTTTATTTATTTTTAATTTCTGTTACATATTTTTTAAGTTTATTTATTTAATTTAAATAATAAATAAAAATAATTTCTAAATGAATATATAATACATTTATATACGTTATTTATTTTAATTCCAGTTAAGACTATTTTTTTTGTGTACTTAAAATATTTAAGATCCTACCCAGAAAATATATTAGATGACGAAGGACTTTATTTAATTCAATGAATTTATTACGTATATAATTGTTTTAAGTAACCAAAAAATTGCTCAATTTTTAAATGAAATGCAATTTACTCACAGTTCCTGCGTGGGCCACTATATACCTCTGATACAGGATTATGGCGATCGCATTGGCTGTGCGATACGCTTGTCAAAGGATGCAAAAAATAAAAAAACGGCCCAGGCAAATCTAATCTGCAATCTATCTCGCGCCAATGTGAATGGTATGCCGCACTATGAGGTCGACGAGGTGCCCGGAAGTCGTTGCACCGCAGGAAGGGATCGCATTTACCAATTTTTGTGCAGTACGGAAGAGGTGGTCGATTAATAATTTTGTGCCGCCGCCACCAACTGCAGCATCCGAACCATGTCAGAAGGCAAATGATATGGAGGATGTGAAAAGTTATCCACTAGAAATGTTGGCTGCAGAAAGAAAATTAAAAGAGTTAAGAGAAAAGGAATATGTAGACGAAAAGCCAAAGGCAAAGAAAAATGAAGAAGAAAAAAATGAGGAGGATGAAGCTACTGAGCCAATTACACAAAGTCTGCTATAGGAAGAAGCTTATGAAAATGAAAGAACTTGCGAAATAGGAAGAAGTTAAGCGAAAGAAGAAAGAAGGAATGTTGTGAGCATATGTAAGAAAATTAAAATAAATGGGAAAAGAAAAAAGTTTAACAAAATCAAAAGGAATATCAATTATAGGTGACCATATGGCAGAAAATAAGAAATGCAAAAAGTTGAGCGAAAGAAGAGTGAAAGCAACGGGTGAAAAAAAAGAAGCTTAACGATCGAAGAAAGAAGGTGAGCATATGGAAGAAAATGAACGAACTTGAGAAATTGGGGAAGAAGTTAAGAAACCATCACAAATTTGGGAGAGAAACATGTGAAAGATATTAGATAAGTTGAGAAAAAATGTAAAAGAGCAAAAAACCAATATTCGAAATATAAAAATAAAAGAAACGAGAAAGAAGTGCTATCTTCGGCACACCGAAGATTTAATACCCTTGCAGACCCAACCTTTTCAAAATGCTCATAGTGCTTTGCCCGTATCTAAGAAGCACAGGGAAAATAGTTAATGCCGAGTATGGTTAAGATATCTTGAAAAACAAAACAGGTTTCCATACAACAACTTAATTTTCGACCGATCGTTCCTATGGCAGCTATATGATATAGTTGCCCGATGTGAATAAGATTTTGCATAAGTGGAGGGAGCATAGTAAAACTAATAAATGCCGAGTTTGGTCAAGATATCTTGAAAAACAAAAAAATTCCATACAACAGCATAATTTTCGACTGATCGTTCCTATGGCAGCTATATGATATAGTTGTCCGATCTTAATAGAATTTTGCTATATAATATGGGGACCGTAGTAAAACTAATAAATACCGAGTTTGGTTAAGATATCTTGAAACACATAAAAATTTTCTATACAAAAACTTAATTTTCGACCGATCTTTCCTATGGCAGCTATATGATATAGTGGTCCGATCTTAATAGGATTTTGCATATATATGGGGAGCCTAGTAAAACTAATAAATACCGAGTTTGGTCAAGATATCTTGAAAAACATAAAAATGTTCCATACAAAAACTTAATTTTCGACCGATCGTTCCTATGGCAGCTATATGATATAGTTGCCCGATCTTAATAGGATTTTGCATATATATGGGGAGCGTAGTAAAACTAATAAATACAAAGTTTAGTCAAGATAACTTTATAAACAAAAATGTTTTTCATACAAGAACCTACTTTTCGACCGATCGTTCCTATGGCAGCTATATGATATAGTGGTCCGATCCAGTTTTGGTTTTGACATATGAGCTGCGTGCAACAGAAAGAGGGAATTCTGCAAAGTTTCATAAAGATAGCTTTAAAAACTGAGAGACTAGTTCGCATAGAAACAGACAGACGGACAGACGGACAGACGGACATGGCTATATCAACTCGGCTGTTGATACTGATCAAGAATATATATACTTTATGGGGTCGGAGATGTCTCCTTCTATGCGTTACACATTTCACGACAAAATTATAATACCCTCTGCAAGGGTATAAAAATAAATAAAAAAAAAAAAGAAAAGAAGCGATGCATTAAAACAATAAGAACAGAGAGAATAATAAAAATATAAGTAAAAAAAAATGTAGTATATGATAAAATAAATTAAATGGGTGAAAGAATAAAACTAAGAAAGAAACGAATAAAGCTGATGTGTAAGTAGGGTACAAATATACGAACAGACATATCTTTTCATTAAGTGGGCTGGCCATGACCAATGTGTGGGGTGCGCGTCCAATCGGATGGGCTGGCTGGGTTGGTCAGATAGCCACGCTTTGGCGACAAATCGATTTGGGAACCAACTCTATAAGAGACTGTGCCCTGGTGCCAGAGCCCGACCAAATGGGCAGCGTAAGCGAAATGTTGTGCACTAACTGGCTGCTGGCAGCGCTGTGGCAGCTGTGCTTCTGGCCAGGGATATTGGCCTTTGACTACTGTGATCCTGTGCTGTGTCCGGGGCCCGAGAAGCACATTGCCTGCCACAATTTTGGCGTAAGTTGCAGCAGCGCACTTAATCTGCAATGTCACGATACTAACCATCTGGGACATTTGCGACAATTTACAGGAGCTGGCGGAGAGCTGCAGCCCAGATGCACATGTGGTGCGCATTACCAAAGCTAGGCGCAACATGATTCTCAACGAACTGAACGAATATCGCGATCGGATTGCGCGCGGAGATCTGATGGGCTTCAATCCGGCCACACGCATGGCCACGCTGCAATGGGATCCGGAGCTGGCCAGCTTTGCGGAGCTGAATGTGAAGCGCTGCGCTCTGGTTAATGATCATTGCCGCAACAGCGATCAGTTTCGCAATGTCGCCCAGGTTGTGGCCGAGGGCGGCTGGCAGGGTACGCCAAATGCGGGCGGAAATGCTGGCGCCACAGATGCACCCGTTGAATACCACACCGAGGAGGAGGTGATCAAGGCCACCTTGGAGCAAATGTTTGCCGAGTACAAGGAGTGCAGCATGCGCGATATTATTGCATACAGTCCGCCCACTAACAGGTAAGCCAGTGTAGCTCCATTCCAACGTTCACACATAGCCCGGCATTCAGCTACTGCTCCTGCCGCTGTTCCTGTTTGAATCTCAAAGAATTTTGCATTTACGGGTTAGCAAGTGCATTGCATACTTCACACAACTGGTCCGGGACAGCACCACCCACGTGGGCTGCGGCATACTCCGGCAGACGCGCAACACCAGCAACAATGCCGGCCAATGGCTGATCAGCACGCATCAGTATATGACCTGCAACTTTGTCCGTGGCAACGATGTGAATGCGCCGGTTTATAAAAGCGGCGATAGGCCGGCAACCGAATGCCGCACCGGACGCAATCCGGCCTTCCTCAATCTGTGCTCCATCAATGAGATCTATGACAACAGTGGTATGGTCGGCTTTAGTTTCTACTAAGTGTCTTTAAATGTCAAATACAATTGAAATGCGCCACGAATAATAAACCTTGATTTCCTGCATGCTATATAAAAATAATAAATAAATAATTTACTTTGGCCGTGAACAGAGACCGAGCTGAGCACTTAATTTATTTAATATTTACTGGCATTAGCAGGATGGAAATAAAAAAAAAAATGTTTTTAAATATTTCAATAGATTTATTGACTAAATATTAAATATTTCCAATATTCGATTTAGCCTTTTTTTTTAAATTATAAAAGTGTATATGAAAATATAATTAGTAAGCAATTTAATATTTTTTACATGTGGAAATAGTGTGAATTTAAAGAAAAGAAACATATTATTTAAAAGAAGAAAATTGCTAAAGATTTTTCTCAAAATTTTCTATTTAGTGGTTTTCTTAAATCTAATTATTTTAAATTGAAATGTATTCGACTGTTGCTTTTCCCTGTTGCAGCTGCTGACAGTTTATTTATTTATTTATTTTTTTTTCTGCTGGCACCTACAAGTCCTCGGCTGGCGCAGGTGTTGCTGGGGCATGCCACTCAATGTCAGAGTGTGGTGCAAAGTTTGCCGACAATTCAGCATCGCGTTCAGCGTTGACAACTTCAGCAAACATTTTTTTATCGCTCTCTTGCTACACCTACTACAATTTTATGCGTTCTGTTTTTTTGCTATCAGGGTGAGAGGTAAAAAATAAAATAGAAAAAAAACACAATGCAAACGAATTGTGCGACAACCGCAAATGATGCGCAACAAAATGTGCGAGCAGTTTTTTTCTATTAAAATAAATAAAATAAACAACAAATTAATATAAAACACGCTTTTTACAGCCATTAATTAAATTAAATCAAAGCTGTTTTGATAGTATTATTTATTTATTATAAGCAATTCGCATTAATTGTTAAAGGCATGCCAACTATTTAATATTGCATCATTTAAATATTTATTATGTGTAAACAGTGGTTAGCATATTTCTTGATATTGCAGTTGTTTTTTGTTTGTTTTATGTATAGGGTATAATTATAGGGTATAATATATTAAAATATCTTTTCAAAGCATAAAAGTAGTTTTTGTTAGAGGTTCCTATTAGATAGAAAATATAATTAGCATTTAATTAATAATATTAATTATAATTGAAAAGTAAAATATCAATTCAGGCTAAACGTATATAATTAATTTAATATATTTTGTAGAACAAATGGCTCTAAAGTTGAAAGCAGCACTAGAGTAAATAATGTATTTAATTACATAGACTTTTCTTTTAAATATATGAATATAAGATATAATTAGAATTAAAGTAGTAATATTCAATTATATTATTCAATATATAATATATATTATATAATATATAATTAAAATATAAAATTGAAATACCAAATAAAGTAAAACCTTTTTAAGGAATTTAATAATTTAAGATAACACATAAATACTTTAAGATAAGATAAGGTTTTTAATATATCTGCAAACAAGATTAACAGCTATAAAAATTGCGCAAATTAAAAATTAAAATTAAAAAAATTGATTTTTCTCTTTTTTATTCGTTTTGAAGTGCTCGCTAATGAAAAAATTGATTTTCGTTTATATACTTATTTTTTTGTCGGGAAACTTGTCGTATGCGTAATTCAAGTTTTAAAATTTGTTTTCTTTTTTTTTGTATGCTTCTATTTGTATTTTATTTGCTTGAATAATATAAAGAGGTGTGCGCTAATGAAAAAATATATCTATGTTTAAATACTTATAATTTTCGGCAAACGTATCGTATGCGTAATTTATCGTGCTTAAAAGTGGACACTAATGAAAAAATAGATTTATATTTATTTACTTATATTTTGCGGCACACGTGCCGTATGCGTTATTTTAGTGTGTCTATTGTTTTTTTCAAAAATTGTTTTCCTGCAATAAACTTTAACCGTAAATACGTTTAAGTACCGTAAAAAATGTATAAGATGTATTCAGTAAATTCTGAAATAACTCCAATGTAATGGGTCGTGTATTGCCGAGGAGTATCTGCATTAGTCAAATATTCAAGTTAATTAGTTGCAGCAGTCAAGTAGTTATATTATCGAAGTGTCTCACCGATGCTGGCCGCTGGGCACGCAATATAATAAATTGTATATCTTTGCGCAGTGATAGGTCAAAGGTAAACCAAGCGGTCTCATACGCTGCTCCGGCTATGGCCAAGTTCTGCAATATATTAAAATCAAGCATAAAGCAGCGGGAACCAAGGCGAAGGCTCACCTGCTCCCTCAGCTCATTGGCATACCAATAAAGGGCCAATATCTGGGCGAGTATCATGTTTATGTACGCACTCACAATGGCCACCTGTGCCTTGGTGTCCATCTACAGAAAACACAAAAGGCTGCCAAGAGTCTGTGTTAAATCCTTTGAGATACACTTACCAATATGAGCATGAAGAGCAGCGCACAGAGCAGCGCACCGAAGGCCAAAAACTCCACGAGAAATATATAAGTAGTCAGCTTATTGATGGTCTGCACATAACTAGATAAGGTTCGTTGAGTACCACAGGACCACACCCGTTTCTATAGCTTACTCTATGATCCGCTGGTGATAGATAATGCATTCGATTATCTCCTGCGAGAGCTCCTGCCTGGTGAGGGGTCTGCGGCTCAGACAACGCAAACGATGCTGCAGCGACTTGCACATCACAATGCCAAACATGATGAAGGCCACACAGAGACTGGTGTAGGGTATATACATGCAGCAGCCCATCGGTGTGATGAGCACTTGACAGACAAACCAAATTTGATAGGTGGGCGTGACATACTCATCCACGCCCGGTATTTTGCTGCCAAAGGGCATAACTGCAAGTACACACAAAGCAATTACATTTGCCAGACCCTATGACATTAGCTGAAAGTGGCTACTAAGCCTAAGATTGATTCCTGACAAGCGAAGCTTTGAGGCAAGTGGAACTGCATTTGGTAAAGGCTGAATAAGTTTATATTAAGTTTATATTTCTTGCATATATTAATTTACAATGTTTTCTTAGAAAACTGTGTTAACTGAGATGCAATTCGAACATTTTTTAATACCTAATTAATATTTAAAAGCTCTTGAAGCACATGATTAATTAACGGGTTGTAATAAAATACTGTACGCCTTTTTATGCAGCATATTATAAAAAATAGCTTTTAAAGCACATAAAAGCTTGCAAGCCGTGAAGTTTGAGCTGAAATTAAAATGAATAGAATTTTTAAGGCTTCAACTTTCTACGCTTTAGCTAAAGTTGTGCACTCACTTTTTGGCCACATTAAAATCACGTTAAAACGTATACCGCTTTGAAGCTTTACTGAAATAATTATTCAAGGAGCTTTTTAAGTTTCACTTTAGTACGATGAAGCCAACGTGTGGGTTGCCATTAAGCACATACATTTGTTTTCATTAAAAGCTTTAAAAAATTGTAACGGCTATAAGGAATCATAGTCTCACTGCTTTAAAAGCACATTAAAGTTTACGAAGCTTTAAAGTTTTGACTAAAATAATTAGTTATAGAACGTTTTACTTTTCCAAGATGAAGCCAAAGTTATGCCTTGTACTTTAAACCATAAAACAGATAAATTACGTTAACTTTGAAAGCACATTAAAGCTTGCAACTACTTTTATTATTCACAGCGCATTTAAGGTTTTTAGTTTTCTCGTCGATTAAGTAACTTAAAGCTCACCTCTCTCATTGAAACTAATCGGATAAAGACAAAGTCCAATGCAGGTGAGGAGGCCAAAGAACAGATTGCCGCGTGCCATGAGCTGACCCTGCCGATTGAGCTGGACCAAAAGCTGATCTATATAATGATCCTTCAGACGCTCCAGCTCATGGTAGTAGGCTCTCACATTGTTAATCAGCTGGATGTACCTATCCTGATCGAACACCAGCAAATAGGCGCGCAATATGGTATTTATCCAGAGCACCAGCATATAGGAGTTGCGTATAATGCCCGTGATGCCCTCGTCTGTGCTGAACATGTACAGCAGCTGGGTGACTACATGGAGGATGCTCAGTGTGATGCAGACATAGCGTTTCACATTTTTATCGTAGAGCAGCGCCCAGAAACGCAGGATGCGAACGTTCGTGTATATAAATTGTATATCCTCAAGCATATTTGGTGCTCAACTATCTAGGTCCGACTGCGGACAGCTAACTTTTATAGGCCCGCCTCAAGGTATGCCGTAATTATTATAATTTTTCGCTTGACTCATGCCACGCCTTGCAAGCGCTCCCAAGCGCCATTTCTGTTGCAATTTTCTTCATTTTCATATTCAGCACCCAGTGCATGTTTGTTTAAAGAGGGTATTATAATTTTTGAAAATTATATGTAACAGATGAAGGTGTCTCGGATTCCATTAGATATATAAATATAGGAATATTTTTGGTACAAATCCACAGACGACTCGACGAAACCTTGTTCGTCCGTCAGCCTATCTTTCTGTCTGTCTATCTCATTGTCAATTTGAAGGGACACTTCAAAATCAGGATTTTTAGAGCTAAAACATGGAATTTTATACGTAGCTTCTTTCATAGGCTCAGAGGGAAGGTAGCATGTTTGTGACTGCAACCCGAGGAACAGGGTACACATACAGGGCATCTGCCCGTCGTGCACACCTGTTTTACACTTGCATATATCTATTTATTGCAATTGCCTAAATTGCTGCACATGATGATTTTGCATTTTATTTGATTCCCAATGGCAGCAATTTTTTGTGTTTAATTTGATTTGCATTACGCTTTTTTATCGATTACCCAAACGGAACTGAACAGCTGCAAAAAAGGTTTAGCATATAGAAATTGATATTTATGCGCATTTTGTTACAGCTCAAATTAGTTGAATGTATTTTACATAATTTTCTGCTCATAAATGCCAGTCAGGTAATTTTATTACAATTATTTATGCATATATATTTATGTAATTACCGTTGAGTAATCAGCCGGGCTGATAATTTGTTATCGTATTTGATAACCAAAAAAAAAAAAAGAAAAACAGATAATTTAATGTGTTAATGCAAATATTGAGCATATTTATACGTATTTATTTATTTACGCTGCAATCAGCGAAATTTCATTATCTAGTTTATTAGTTAAATCTAAATAGTATTGTTGCTAAAGCCTGCGAGCAAATATGTCACCAGGTTGATTCTTAAATACGCTACAATTATAATAAATAGTAAATAAAATAAATGAAATAATTAATTGGACAATTGAAAATCAAACCCCTTAACTATGTTAATTCTGTAAAATTTCAGAAATTTTTTTAGAGATAAATCAAGAAAAATGTTCCGAAAACCATAAAACAATTTCAAATAAAAATATAAATTATTCAGTTTTTTTTTCTTAAATGAAATCAATCGAAGTCCAATTTAAAAAAGAAAAATTTAATACATATATAAAAATTATATTTTAAAATAATGAAGAGATATTTTCTTTTTAGCTGAATATGGGATTTAGATTAAACGATGAACTAAATACATAAATATTTTAATTTATACATTTTTAAACTCCAATCCCGAAGAGATTTTGGTATGCCCAATAAATATTTTTATGAATTTTCCACAGGCTTCAGCAATTATCTTTATTTACAAACAGATTAAATATACAAAAATCCTGATTATATACGACATCCTATATCCAATTTAGTCAGTCAGGTGAGTTCAGTTCTGGTCGAACACTTGATTTAATCAGTTCCGAAAATGGTGCTCATCATTTTGACCTTTTTGCTGGTCCTGTGCGTGCTGCTCTATAAAATTTCCATGGCTCCGTATAAGACGTTCAGGGAACGCGGCATTGTGCATGAAACGCCAAAGCCGCTTATAGGAAATCTAAATTTGTTGGTTTTGCTGGGACGTGCGCCGTTTTTGAAGTATCTCGTCGATCGGTATTTAGAGCTGAAGGATCACAAGATCTATGGCTTCTACAATATGCGTGAGCCGTTCTTTGTGCTGCGCGATGTGGAGCTAATCAAGCGCGTGGGCATACAGGACTTTGAGCATTTCATCAATCATCGCCCCATGATACCCGAGGCGGGCGCATCGATGTTCACGAAGAGCCTGAAGGAGCTCAAGGACGACAAGTGGCGGGAAATGCGCAACACTCTGACACCATCTTTTACGAGCAGCAAGCTGAAGGCCATGTTCGAGCTGATCAACGAGTGCAGCGTGGAGGGGGTGCGTTACATTGAGGGGGAGTTGCTGAAGGCAAACACCGGAGAAATCGAGCTGGAAATGAAGGATTACTTTGGACGATTTGCCAATGATGTTATAGCCTCTGCGGCGTTTGGCATAAAAGTCAACTCATTTGTGGATAAAAAGAATCAGTTTTATACGCTTGGAAAATCGGTGGCGCATTTTTCCTATCTCGTCATGCTCAAGGTTATTCTATATGGCCTAATGCCGAGGGTTATGAAGGTATTTATAAATAATACTTATATTATAATTATAATAGGACAATTATCAATTCGTTTAGGCGCTGCGCATTAAGCTCTTTAATGCCAAGAAAATCGAATACTTTAACAGTCTCGTATTCGATGCCATGAAATATCGCACCGAACATAATATAATACGACCCGATATGATACATTTGCTGATGGAGGCCAAGCGTCAGTTTCAGCAAAATGGCATACCGGAGCACTCGACGGAGCATGCGGAGTTCAACGATGAGGATCTGCTGGCGCAGTGTTTATTATTTTTCTTTGTCGGCTTTGAAATAATGTCCGCGAGTCTCTGCTTTCTCACCTATGAGCTCTGCCAGAATCCTGCGGTTCAAGCGAAACTATATGAGGAGATTCTATCCGTGGGACAGGAGCTGCAGGGCAAACCGCTCAACTATAACATGCTGTCCAAGATGAAGTATATGGATCTGGTTATATCGGAATTATTGCGTCTATGGCCGCCTGCCTTTAGTCTGGATCGGGTGTGCGGCAAGGATATTGATATGTTCGATGAGAACAGGGAATTGCTGGCCAAGTTCAGGAAGGGCGACGTTATAGTAATACCCATCATAGCATTGCAGCGTGATCCTGACAACTTTCCGGAACCCGAACTATTCAAGCCCGAGCGTTTCTTGGAGGAAAACAAACCCAATATAAAGCCGTTCACGTATCTGCCCTTTGGCCTGGGACCGCGCAGCTGTATAGGTAGGCTTAAATTTATAAAGTTTAAAAATTTCTAACCATGCAAAACGCTTTTCAGGCAATCGAATGGCGTTGATGGAGGTGAAATCCATAATCTATCATCTAGTGAGTAAATTTCAATTGGTGCCAGCTGAGAAAACGGTCCAGAATATGATGCAGAGCTTGAAGGGTTTCAGTATGCAGCCCAAGGAAAAGTTTTGGATCAAATTGGTGCCTCGAGAATCGGCCTAAATCCAGTTGGAACCTTGTGCCTGAACCTGTCAACTGCATTATCTACAAATAAACTAGATAAGATTGCAAGAAAAATTAACGATAAATTCAAGCGTTAACAATTGATAATGGCTCAATGTCATGGACTACAATTTGTTTAATTCATTAATTAGTATCCAATAATAATATAAAAAAAATGGAAAATATTGACACTTCCATATCAGAGACATGATTCATTGTCATTTGGGATTAAAATTGTGACTCATTAATGGGCTTAAATTGTTCTAATTTTACTTTCAATTACAGTCTGTACTATATAATATGCTTTAATGTACCTTACTTAACTATGCCATTCTACGTTCTACTATATTTGACTACACATTAAACAAAAGTAAAGGTGTTTAAATAATAATAATAATATTATTCATATATATTCAAGTGCAATTTTTACTGATATCATATCATGCCATTCAGTTCATATAAACATTAACAGATAAGAATTTTTAGCAATCAAATTTATTTTGTTTGTTGTTCAATTGCTTATCTTTTTATACACTACCGAAAAATGTTCTAGTTTTTGTTAGGAACTAAGTTACGCCTAGCAACAAGTAGACTTTTGCGAACCCTTATGTACGTATATATACGGATATTCCCTGACCTTAACCGTCGCTTCAAATATACTTGAGATCACTTTCGTCTGGAAACACATAGCTAGAACGTTTGTTTATATCTATGCCAAGTTCTAAAAAAACTTTGGCGCAGATTTGTTGTTTGTTTTTAATGGGTTGTATATATTTCAGTATCAGTATATCATAAAGATCTAATAGAAATTATCGGTAAAAATGGTGGAGCTGTATAGAAATTTAAATTTGTATACTATATGCGAGCATTTACTAAATGAGAGTATAAAATATTCGAGCACTGCTCGAAGGGAAATTGATTTTTGAAGGTAAATGCTGAAATACTCTACAATTAAGTTGATAAAAAGAATTTTATATGATGTTTAAGAGATTTTTTTTGTAATATCTTGATTTATAGGATTTCATTTGAAAAAAATAATAGCAATAATATTATTAATAATTTTAATAAAAATAATAATACTTCTAATAACAATAATATTAATATTAATAATAATAATATTAATAAAAATATATATAATAATAATTATCATTATTATTATTGTTTAAAAAACAATAATTGTTTAAATAAAAATAAAAATATTATTAATGAAAATAATTTTAATAATAATAAAAAAAATATTAATAATAATAAAATAAATAATATTGGCAATAATAATAATAAAATTTAAATTATGAATAATACTAACAACAACATTAATATTAATAATTATAGTAATAATAATAATAACAATTGAGTCGAAACGTTTATATTGTTCTGGCTTGTTTGCCAGAGAGACGCGAGAAGTAGATTAAATAAAAGCAAGAGAGCGAGAGAAATAGTGTGCTAGAATTTGTGGAGAGAGCCGCAGTAAACAATTATATATATGGGCGTAAATATAGAGAGAGAACGATGAGGTCATATAAGAACTGCCATATTGTTATTGGCATTTCAGTAACATTTGCGCGTTGGAAGCGCTCAGTTGAATGCTTGAAAGAAAATATATTCAAAAAAAAGTAGAAAAATGTTTTTAATTATTTGTACACTCGTGATCGTATTGCTAGCGCTGCTCTACAAATGGTCCGTGGCCAATTACCAGATTTTTGCGGATAGGGGTGTGCCCTATGCGAAGCCCAGCCCGCTGCTGGGCAACATTGGCCTGAAGGAACTGTTTGGTGCTGCGCCCCATTTCAGCAGGCAAATCGAAGAGCATCGGGAATTTCGAGACGCTAAAGTTTATGGCTTTTTCTTTCTGCGTGATCCCATATTTGTGGTGCGTGATCTGGAGCTGATCAAGACTGTGGGCATCAAGGAGTTCGATCATTTCGTGAATCATGTTGGCACCGAGCAAATTAAGACGCTGCTGTCCAAGAGTCTGATCCGGCTGCAGGATCGCGAATGGCGGGAAATGCGTAATATATTATCGCCCAGCTTTACCGGCATCAAAATGCGTGCCATGTACGAGCTGATCAATGTCTGCAGCGAGGTGGGCGTGGCATATATTGAACAGCAGCTGAAAGAGGCGCCGGGCCCGGGCGATGGCATCGAGCTGGAAATGAAGGATTTTTTTACGCGTTTCACCAACGATGTCATCGCTTCCGCTGCGTTTGGCATCAAGGTCAACTCGTTCGAGGAGAAGGACAACAAATTCTTTCAAATTGGTCAGACTGTGACCAAAGTCAAGACTGTGGTCGTGATCAAGGCGATACTTTACACTTTTATGCCCAGATTAATGAAGGTCTGCACGGAATAATATAATTTTCTCAACTTTATTTACTGTTTTTCTCAATTTGAGCAGGCTTTGCGAGTCTCGATCCTGGATGAAACGACGGTCAACTACTTCAGATCCCTGGTTTTTGATGCCATCAAATACCGTGTGGAGCACAAGATAATACGACCAGATATGATTCATCTGCTGATGGAGGCGCAACGCAGGGCTGACGATGCCGATGAGTCGGGCAAAAAGTTCTCAGATGACGATCTGCTGGCCCAGTGCCTGCTCTTCTTCGCCGCGGGCTTCGAGACGGTTTCCACCTGCCTCTGCTTTTTCACCTATGAATTGTGTATGAATCCGGCTGTGCAAAAGCAGCTCTACGAGGAAATCCTGAGTGTGGAGCAGCAATTGCAGGGCAAACCCCTGGACTATGACACACTAATGCATATGAAGTACATGGACATGGTCGTTTCGGAAGTATTACGCAAGTGGCCGCCGGCATCGAGAACGGATCGCGGCTGCGGTGCAGATATCGATTTACGGGATGAAAACAATCAAGTTGTCGTCTCGCTGAAGAAGGGCGATCGCATATTTATACCCATTATGGGCTTACATTATGATCCCGAGCATTTTGCAGAGCCCGAAGAGTTCAGGCCCGAACGGTTTTCGGAGGAAAACAAACATGAAATTAAGCAATTCACGTATCTGCCATTTGGCGTGGGACCCCGCAATTGCATTGGTGTGTACTATATATATAATATACTATATAGTAAACCGATTTCTATATATGAGTTCTCTCTCCTTCAGGCAACCGTATGGCGCTCATGGAGGTCAAGTCTATGATATACCATTTGCTGATCAAGTTCGAGCTGTTGCCATCTCAGAAGACTCCCAAGGACATGATGGGTGACATCCTGGGCTTTCAGATGGTGCCCAAGAGTAAATTTTGGATTAAATATGTGGCCAGAAAAACTGACAAGAACAGACCCTAAGCTGTTTGCAGGTGCAACAAATAAATGTGACAGATTTGTAGATGTGTTTTTTTTCTCAACTGATTTGTTTTCAACGGAGCTTCATTTAAATTTCCCTGCTCTCCTCTTGGCTGTGGGGCAGGCTCTAGCTGCCACACACACTTTTAGCTAATTAATCATTTTGCATTCTAATTAAAACTTTATTCTATGTGCAGAGTTCAAAGTTGAGTCTCTCGCTCAAATGCAGTGCATTAATCAAGCTAAAGACACACAGGAAATTGCACTATTCGGCTCTCGTGCTGCATTTAATTAATTATTTAATTTATGTATCTTCATTTTTTTTTAATTTTATGCAAATGCAGCAAAAACAAATTTCCTTTGAAACAGACCGCAAAAGTTTAAAGTCGCAATTAATTGCAACTTATCGATTATAAAGCGTGCAGCTTCTTCCTTTTGGGAAAATATTATTCTGCCAATTATATATATCTAGGGCATATCAGAACCAAAGATTTTACTTTACATTCAGTTTTTATTTTAATTACATTTATTTTGTTCGTGAAAATGATTTATTCATCTGTGGAAAACTTTTCTAACAGAACTTTTTATAAAAAAAAAACAAAATAGTTGCCATTTTAAAGTTATTAATTTCTTAAGTTTCTATTTCAACTGAATTCAGAAATAATAAAAAAATATATGAAGCAAATTGAAGAGATTTGCGTTAGTTTATTACAACATTTTATTTATTTACTTCCATTAAAATTTATGATTTCAGCGAGTTCAGAATAAGTTCAAATTGTATGTAAATTATTAAAAATGACTTTAAAGAAGAACTTATTAATTAATTAGCTTTAAATAATTTAAGAGACTTAGGTAAATTGGTTTCTCCATTTCATACATTTACTCCCATTTATAAAGCAATTATATATTATTAAAAAGATTATTAAAATTATATATTAAAAATGTATTATAAATCTTTGTGTATCACCTGCATTTAGCGCTAGTGCAAAGCGTTTATCCGGAGAGTGAATATTGTTGATTGTTGAATGCTAGTGGATAAAACTATTCCGCTTTTGATCCTGTTTTATATGTAGACTGCATAAAGAGTGCGAACATTGTAGATGCTGTGAGCGGGAGGGAAGGGTAAATCGAACGCACTGTGCTCACGTCATTGGTTGAAATGCTTTTAATTCCGTTATCTATGAACATAATGAGCGAACATTGTGGATAACGGATAGTGCCGGCTTAGCGCAGGGTCGAATTTAGTTTGTGCGCTTGGCCTCTCCGCGTTTGTATGTAAAATCGTGTTGTAAAAAGTTTAATTAGCTAGTTTGGAGTTTAACGCGTTGGGTAGTGTGTGTCGTGTGTGTATTTGCAATGTGTTACAGCACTGCGTAAACAAACATATTATAGATAAGCGGTAAACCACGCGTGTTTTACTTGTTTTGTGCTAAGCATTTTTGCAGAAGAAAAAAAAAGCCGCGCTTTTGGGCTGCATTAACACACAGAGAGAGTAAAAGATAAAAAGAAGAGTGAGAGAGTGAGAGTGAGGTGAGTGTGCTAAAGCTTTTCTTAAACAAGTAGGCGCCCTCTAGCGTAGACATGCAATATAAACATACATAAATGTAAACATACAAATATATATATATATATTTTTTTATTTGTTTTGTTCTTGCTGTTCGGCTTTTCATATATTTATTATCTATTAAATCTATCAAGGCCAAAGACTTAAGCTCGCTCAGACAAATAAAATTAGATTGAGCGTAAAGCATATTAATTTGTTTTCCCCCATTGAATAATTAATTAAAGACCGAGGCAAATCAAGGTAAAATCTTTCATAAGTGTGTTAATTAATTCTCCAATTAGGGTCCAGCAAAAAAAAAAAGAAAAGAAACAACCGAGTGCTTGAAGCAACAAATTGTTGGAAAGAATTTCGCATGTCCAATATCCAAATGGCCGTAACATTTGCAGTTGACTGTGAAGTTTAATTTGGCTCAAGAAATGTTGGACAAAAACTTTTTGACATTTCGTTATTTATGTGCTTTGGCATATTTAGGCAAAAAGTTTTGGCCGACTAAGCAGTTAATGCGATATTGATTTATTCGCCAGCAGCAGCTGCCTCTAATATATATGTAATAAATACTATGCAGCTGATATATGTATATATATTTTGTATAAGTGCCTATATATATATATAATTTAAAGAGATCCGCTCTTAGGAAAGTTTGTTTTGGTTTTAAGTCAAAATTATACGCATTTCTGGCTACAGCTTTGCTTGAAGTTTCAAGTTCATGAATTCGAATTTTCCGTTTTGAGCAAGTGCGCGACTAGCAAATACCCTGTATTTTCTAATTGATCATCGCATAATATAAAAACAATAAATAATTTTTGTCAAGGATATTAAAATAATAATAATAATAATCAACAATAATAATAATGTATTCAATATTCAAGATAGTTATTTCTTATTGTAGGAACTTATATCTATATCTATAATTAGTTAAGCTTTGTATAAATCTCACATAGTAGTCTTTTTTCCTGGCATCCTTTTATACACTTTTTAGCAGTAATTTTTACAGGGTATCGAAAAACTGCAAACGATTAAGCTGTGAGTTTTGCGTAGATACTTTGGGCGCACATTTTCATGAGCTGCCAGACAGCTAAAGCTGGAGCTAAAAAGATCTCAAATATCAAAGTGCGACAGACGCAGCAAATGTTGAAGTTTCTATCAAAAGGCAACAAAAAAAGTTTGCGCTGAAAAACTTGGACGGCCAACTCGGGCGACAAAAGGCGCGAGAAAAAAAAAATAAACAAAAAAAAAACAGCAAGTTGAAAATCTTTGGCCAAGAGGCAAAAAGTTGTTAATTATTTTCGCTGGACTCTGCTGGGCAAAAACAATGGCGCAAACTTTTGGCCAAATCTATGACTGCCAGCGACATTTAAGCATTTTTATACCCTGAACCCATTGAAAATTGTTAAAAAAAGGGTATAATGTATTTGTGCACATGCATGTAACAGGCAGACGGAAGCATCTCGGAGCTCAGAAAGTATATACATTCTTGGTCAGCATTAATAGTCGAGTCGATCCAGCCATGTCCGTCTGTCGGTCTATCTATCCGTCTGTCTGTCCGTATGTATGAACGCGTCGATCTTACTTAAACGACTTGAACGTAGGTCTTCCTAGTGCTCATGTAGTATTGGTTTGTTTTAGATTATCGATAACTTGCCTTGTTTCCAAACAATCGTTAAGAATCGATATCGAAATCCGTTTTTGGAGCAAATCTTTTGGTTTTTAAGAACTACACGACAAGCCATATGAATTCTATAAGTAGAATTGCAATTATTATTATTTTTTAAAATTTATTTTTGTAATGCCAAGGCAAAGGAGAGCGTTGCGCGAGCTGGAAGCTGTTGCTTGAAGAAAGTTAGGGGCATCACCTAGTCGGCCACTCCCGATTTGTTTATATATGTTTGTTAATTTTGTTGGACTTAACTGAACTGGACTTAAACTAAATGTTAAGCATTAATGGTCATATTTTGGCCAAACTGCATTCGTTGGCCGCGCCATGCGGCTTAAGTGCTTGGCAAATTGTGTAAACTTGTAATTTGTTACTGCTGCAGCCGCAGCGCCCTTTAGGGGCATGCCACTTGCTGCCTGCCACTTGCCGGCTGCTGGCTGTGGCCAGAGCCAAATCCTTTTGGTCCGCTTGGCAGTCGGCCTGACCGCTAGCTGTGTGACCCATTTGCATAATTATTCATTGCGCCGCATTTTCGGGCATAAATAAAATGATGCTTCACTGCACACACACACACACACACACACACATGCACATATATTACTCCTGTTAGCTGCCAGATAATGTCTTGTAATAAACTCATGTGAGCTTCTGTTCCACGACCCTTCCCTTCCGCCTGCTGGGCTGCGCTTTTTTGTTGCTTCATGTTTATTCTTTAGCATTTATTTTTCTTCTTTTTTATGGCTGTTGCTAGTTTACTTGCCTCTCATACGAATAGATACGAACTGCTCGCCGAGTCTATTATTTTTTTTTTTTTTTGCAATTTACCCAATTTGCCGAAGCACATTTGCACTCGGAATTCAATTGGCAAACCAATTTATTTTTAGCTTCAGTCAATGCTTTTTTTTTTAATATTACTTGCCTAATCAAAAATATTCTTTGGGCTACTCAGAGTTTTAGTTTAAGTTATTGTCGTATATTTTGTATATATAATTTCCTGAGTGGAAATTAATTGTATTTATTTGTTATATATTTATTATGTTTATAAATTCATCTTTAATATCGAGAAAAAATATTTTATGCTCTGGTTCAGTTCAACTAGTAGGCCGAGTTTTGATACAAATATTATTTGTAATTCCTATTGATTTTTTTTTTTTTAAATAATTCATTTAATTTCTTGTCAATATTTTGTTCTATTGACATTTCATTAAAATATATTTTTTACATATAATTAGCCATCAGAAACTTAAAAAACTTTTGCGTGAGCCACAACTTCTTAGGTCCTTTGAAGCCTACTTATGGTTGCAATTCATTTTTTTTTTGAATTCCAATTTATTTTCTTATTCTATTAAAATAATTAATTTGTTTATGTTGCATATTTTACATATAATTTGCTCTACGAAACTTAAAAACAATTATTCTTGCTCTAAAACTTTTTTGGGTTCGGTTAGTGCACATAATTTTGGATCCAATTTTTTTTCTTGAATTCCAATTAATTTTGTAACTGTATTGTATTGATTAAAATTATTGTTATTTATTTTTTATTAATTTTTTTGTATATATTTTACTCAATTAACATTTGTTTATTTTATATATATATTACTATTTAATTACTTATTTTAACTCTCAGAAACTTAAAAATATTTATTTTTTGAGATAAAACTTTTTAATGTAATTAGAAAAAATTGAATTGAGTTGGCACTTTTGATATGTTTTTAAATGTATATCTCTTATGGAGCCGGCGAATTCGAATAATTTAGATGCAGATTGTGGGTATGCACACGCCAA